TTTTTTTCCTAAGCAGTCTCCTGATCATCTGTTGGACACCTAGTGGCTCATTCTCTTCAGGAAGAAACATGCATAAGTTGCAAAAGAATAGATGATGACAAGATTTAGAAATTAAACCAGTCTCGGCATGTTGGTTCAACAATGAAGAGATGTAATAGTAGATATGCCCCCTTGCATTTTCTTCATTTATCGAAGATTAAAGATAAGCAACATGAAAGCTTTAAATTTCACCACCAACCTAGTCACAGCCGAAATTTAAGGAAAAAATAGGTACTATGGAAGAATCTAATTACTTCAACTTTGCCTTAAAATAGATAAGATGACAGAAGCACAAAAAGTATCCCAACACTCACGGATTGAAACATAGATTACAAAGACAAGAGAAAAGTCCGTACCTTTTCCTTATTTGCTTCACTAAAGTCCCATGGAAGATCCGAATTGCTGTCAGGCGAATCAAGGTGCTGACAGAACACAAATTTGCCAACCTTACCACGAATTGATCCCAACCGGCGTAACAGAAAGAAAAATCAACAAATAAATGTCAGATCAAATGGCCTCACGTAGTTCAAAGCAGTGGAGAAAGATCTGGCGGGGGCGAATGCAACCTGGAAGGCAACCCAACATTTAGGGATCCCAAATGACAAACGAAGGAGAAATAATGGTTATTGGAAGAGGCATCGACGGAGAGAAGCCTACCGGAGAGGAGGAGCGGAGAAATCGACAGATCGCGGGGAGGCGTTTGGAAGCGAGGGACGCCGCCGACGATAACATGGTGGCATCTCCAGAGAGAGAGAGAGACAGAGACTTAAATCGAAACCGGGCGGTGTATTAGGAAAGGACCGAATGGGCAGCCAGCACGTCGTCCTCAGTTTGCTAAGACCCATTACGGTTCACGCCCATTTAAACCGTAAAATCGACTGAGCCGGACCGATTCACCCTACAAAAATTGCTTCGTTCGGCGTGGTTCTCCAAACGTCGATGAGAAATCGTATGTGCTGATTTGATCTAGTCAATTTTGACCAATTTTGACTTTGAAACAGTTAAAAATTATAAAACAAAATAAAATTTGGATCACCGTAATTTTCAAAAACTAGATCGAATTATTCGATTAGAAAACCATCATCCACTTTTTAAGTGATGGAAATGAAGACATTGGATCCAAAGCCTGACTTTGGTGTCTGCTGTTCCATCCCAATGTATCAGAATCCAAACTTGATATTAGTATATTGAATTTTCTTTTTCTTTTTCCTCTATGGAGTTTATGTTGACGATCCATTCTACGTAGCCAAAAACAAATATACCTCAAACAAGACAAAGACGGCTTACCCATGCATGTAGGGATTCTGCTGCAACCGGACAGGAAAACTTGAGAGCTAATTGCTCATTGTAATGCTGGTAATCTTTCCTGCTACGATCGATGATATAACTGCTTTCCCTGTGGAATTTACAGAGTAAGAACTTTTGCTTGGTGTTGAGATTCCTATAATGCTTCTGAGAAATCAAAAGAAAACGATAAAGTAGAATCACCAAAAATCTATCCTGCACTGGATTTCAATTGAAAAAAACACAAAAATAGAGTAAATTAGCAAGCTCAAATAGACAACAGGAAACCTGCCGCCATAAAACAAGTTTAAAATAAGTTCACATAAAATACTTGCGTTCAAAATTTCATTATCAACACTCTCCAATAACATCAAAACTTTTTGCCAATTTGATGTAAAAGTACAAACAAACTCCTAGAAAAAGGACCTAGAGAACACGCAACAAAAGCTCGGACAATGAGGATCTTCAAAGAAAGAATATCTAGAAAACCCAAAGAAGTACAGAACCATAAAGGTCATTGCAAATCGCTCAATGCCAGAGGAGAAAACAGAAACTTCTTATTGCTTCTGATGCAGTAATAGCTGGAATTGCTGATTTTATAGTAGGATAACCAACTATGTATATCTGAGTAATTGCTTTCAGAATTTGTCCCTCTCCCAAAGGACTCCACCATCCTCTGCATGTCAGAATAGTTTGATTTAGCAAATGCACGGAAGAGCACCAAATTTCTCTGACTAGTGAGTATCTCATATCTTTATTCTTTTCCTATATTTAAAATGCATATAATAAAGACAACAAAAGATAAATAAATATTCTAAATACCCTATTTATATCTTTAGCAAAAGTGAGTGTAGAACATACAAACTTCAAAGTCAGAAGCTTAACCAGAATACTTTGGCTGATTTCTCAATGAGTTGCCAAGTCGCAAGAGTAAATGAGATAAAAAATTAACAATATTCTCATTCTTGAATTCATGGAGTTTACAAATGCACAAGCACTTAATGTGCTAACCTGCTAACCAGGAGCAAGGTTCCTGATTTCACCTGGACTGGTACATACAGGATGGAATTTACCGATCTGGTGGTGACCCAGGACACGGTGACTACCCCTTTCCCAGCAGGCTGGTCTGGTTCATTCGTTTGTGCTTTCCATATCTTTTTTTAGGTTTGACCATGGTGCGCCCTGCTCTCTCTCTCTCTCTCTCTCTCTCTCTCTCTCTCTCTCTCGCCTATCTCTTCTGAGCTCTCTAGCAACACACACTGCTGACCACCCCTGTCGGGGTGTGAGCATCCCCATTGCTGGCCAAGGTATTCACCTCCTCTCTCTTCTGGTATCACAGTGTGTACCAGCATATGTGTCGATACATAGGTTTGTACACGACCGCTACCAGTCAGGCCAGGGGTCAGATACAGGTCCATTATATGAAATTTTAAACAATGACCCAGAGCATATAAACCAATGGATAACAAATATTCATCCAGTTTTGAGCTGATCTGGCGGGTTTTTGGAACATGGATCATGCATCTATAATTATAAAAGCTACATTTTGGAAGCAATTAAGCATTAAAATATGCAACACTAAAAAACTTAATCTAGACTATTGAAGACCAGTTGATTTAAGGATGCAGTGCAATCCCTCATTCGTTGTCGTAGATGGTTTCATTAGATCAGACATTTTAATTCTAGATTGATCATGTAAGTTCTCTCAACTGTGGCAATTAGTAAATTGCACATCACATAAAGAAAGCATTTGAAGTATCTTAACTTTGCGTACAACAAGTAAGTACCTTTAATCTTTTTGTTAATCCAAACCTCCAGCAGCATTCCTGCTCCAACTCCAGCTGCGCAGATAGCTCCATAAATTGCAATAGAAGAAGGTAATGACCTTCGTGGAAGAAAATAATAGTCAGGGACTTCTCTAATTTTCTTAGGAAGCCGCTTTTTAGTGACTGGTCCAAGTGAATCACTATTGACAGCATTGCCCACTGTCTTCCAATCCACATTCTTCAGCAAGTCTTTAGAGTCTTCACTTGCCATAATGAAATAAGCTATGGGTGCCCAATCCTAAAAATCTACAAAAGAATTTAAATTATAAAAAAGGCATGAGAAGGCAAAATTTTCTATTCCAAGATGAAAACTATAATGATAATTTATTCAAAAATAAACTGGCTTCTCAAATTAAAAATCTAAAGAAGATAACGCAACAAAGAATTGCATAAACTCTTTATAGTTTATATGTCTTTTTGCACATCTTAACAAACGGAAACGACGGGAAGATCTCGAGCATTCTGCAGATAACAATTTCCAATTTCATACTTGAACCTTAAGTAATGGTGGTGGTGGTGCTACTTATAATTTGGCCTCCTCAAATCATTGAATTGACAGCACAAATATTTATATGAATCAAGTTCAAGATAAGTATGGACATATATAGGTTTTCAACATTTATCATCCAGCACTCGTTTATGCTGTTTTCCATACAAGTATGATTCAAATTGGAAGTTACAATGACACTAAGCATGCAGATTTCGTGCTTTTTGACATCTAACTATGATCCACATCGGAAGCCCTACTGACAGAATTTAGAGATGCAACATTGGGACCATACATGGAATGAGATCAGTCTTCCAGGGTGCATAAAATGAACTCCAAATTTGTCGCCATTTATTTCCAGTCCACTTATTTAACAGTAAAGAACACAATCTTATAAGGCTACCAACAAAACGGATGTACATTTCCTTTTTTCTTTTAAGACAACAAACGCAAATTAAATGGTTGCTACCATACACCTACTTGAATGTATCCATAGATTGAAAATTCCCACAACAAGAAAACTGAAAGCAGCCAGCTTGCTGTAGGAACAACAGGCACAGATGCAAGGTTAAGAAACTAGCAATCACAAAGTTACAACAGGATCAAGAATTATAAGAACTCTTAGAACCTAGCAGAACTTGCAGTCGTTCAACCACGTGTTACCAAACAAAGATCAATTTGCTCGATGGAGGAGGGACGGACCGGCGGTGGGAGTCGACGATAACTCGCTCGGGAGCGACGGAGGAAGATCGATGGTGAGGAGAGACTGGTAGAGGATGCTCGGAGGTGGCTGGAGCGGCGGCTGGTGCGTCGGCTGTTTGGAGGGTTTGACGGAGGAGGCCGGCGGCGTGCTATAAGTTGGGAATCAGGCCATAATTGGATCGAGAAATAGGTTCCCCGAAGCCCCAAGCTGCCTTTTGATTGGAGAAACCCGTGAAGCCCACAACGAGCCCACAAATATGTGAATGGGCGATGTGAGCGTTGGCCAATGATTAAATTGGTAGAACTTAGTAACATTTACTGTGATTTGAATCGGATATTTATTTTAAGCGGTTTAGTTTAAAAAGTTAGAAATTAAACCACAATTCATTTAATTTTCTCGGATTGGAGGATTCAGATCGAAGTATATTGATTACTATATTCTATTATTTGCAAGATTTGACCTACTAAAATGTACTATTCGATGTGGATAATAAATATGATACATCGATACACCTCGATATAACTCGATACATACATCCAATATATCGTGTGTCAATACATTCGATTGGTCTCCGCAAACTTCAGTTGTGCTAACATTTTTTCCAGACTAATAATAAAGACTTAAAGTACACGATAGGAATTAGAAAAAAAATGTAACTTATGCAATTTATTGACTATGGAAACATGGTTTGAATGTGCACATGGCAGCCATTATTTTGTGCCAGAAGAAACACCAGCCTTATTTGATTTGTTTCCTCTTGACAAATGCATGACACAATTAGAAGTCCACTGACTTGATTACAAGATCTGCATTTTTCTTTGATCCCATTATGAGCTCTGCATTTGGTCGATCATTATACTCGATCTGGTTTAATCAGAATAAAACCAAAAGTGTATTTAGTTCAAGAAAATATTGGAAAGATCTATAAGAAAATACTTTTGATTGCTTCCAACTGATAAATTAGGAGTTTGGCCACAACAAGAAACAGACTAAAATTTATAAAACGAATGCTGTTTTGATGAAGAAAATACAGCAGTTCAGAAACTTGTTAATTGCAAGTTGGAAGAGAAGTAAACAGAAAGAATGTGTAGCGAATTCACAAACTCAAATAATGAAAACATAGATATCAACACAAATGTTTCACATGTTGCATTTAACACATTCCTGTTGATCTATTACCTCTAGCTAAATCTGAATGTGAGACAGGAATTTACTGCCTAAAAATCTTCAATAATTCATACATTCTGTAAAGCCTGCTCCAAACCTCAACTATCTTACATGCAAGGGATCTCAAACAAATTTGAAATAGGTTCAAGAGTAGTGTCGAGTGTCAACAGAATCAGATATAAAGATTTAAGAGGACTCATATTTCATGCCAAATAAGTCAACCGTCCTGAGTGCATCCAGTACTTGAGATGTCTAAATGTTATACCCTACATCTCATTCCTTGCTAAGTTACTGTCCCTGATTACCAAGGGTCATATGGCCATGCATCCAAGGACATTGATACATTAGTTGGCATTTTTTATTTGCTCTTATGAGTTATCTAAATTTCCAACAATTCTATTGGGATAGGAATTGAAAAGCAAACTGTCTGAGGAAAAATACTAGAAATATTCTTACCCGCCATTTTGCAACATCTGGCTCTTTTCCTGTAGAACAATATGAGAAAGATAAGACACCACCAACGAGTGAAGCATGAATCGCCCAATACGCTGATAACTAACCTGTAGATATATGTCTTTTTAGAACCCGTTCCATTGCTACATTGATGTCAATGTCAAGGAACCTTCGGAAGAAAGATATAAATAAGTTAACACATGTAAAATCTAAAATGAATAATATATCAGATCAATGTTCTGTAGACTGAAGCAAGATATCTAATAAAAAGCATTAGCTACACCATAAAATCAAGGCTTAGGTTGAGCCCATGGTCATTCAAGATACTCTCTCAACTCTCAACTATGTTCAACCAATGTTTACTGAGTGGAGAATCCAATCAGAAAAGACATATCATAAATTATCTTTTTAAGTACATGAGCAACAACTAAACCTCAGATATAACCAACTGTCTACAACTTATTTTTAAATTAATGTTTAAAGAAAATCATATATTTGATGCCTTTTAGACAACCTTACCATTTCTCATCAAAAATGGAACAAATATCTTGCCAAATTCCTTCTTCCAAGAACAAATAATTGCCTTCTACAATGACTACTTTATGCCTGCCAAAAGAAAATGATATGTTCAATACAGGATGCATTGACATTGAAGATCTATACGTATTAAGAAACCTGTTGAACGTATCATCTGTGTGTATATATGCAAACACACACATTGGGAACAGGTACATACAATAATGCAATACAACTTGGACAAGCTACCAGACCGGAGGAAAAAGAGCAACCAAAATACATGCCATCACAATCAAGAATAACAGTGTTTAACAAAATAAAGGAACCTAACATATTTATATTATTCATAGACCATGGTTTAATTGAACAGAAGGATAGTTTGGAGTTTGAACTATAGGCCAGTAAATTCAAAAGGGAATATTTTACTTACTCAGAACTTACAAATACATCATCTTCCACTGGATCACCAACACCATGATCAAATGATGGAGCATAAGTTGATCCCTGAGAAAACAATCTTCACATTGAGCATATTGAAGCATGAAGACCACCATTTAACTTTGTGTTTCAATTTAAATCTAAACAGGGCTCTGAAGAATTATACAACCATAATATCTTTAAATGGAATGGACAAATTATTAGCATACATAAAAAGGCCCAAGTGATAATTATAAAGGATTGATTTAATCCAAGAAGTGATGTGCATAAGTTGCAGTTCTACCTCATTCCGTAAAGAATGCAGACATTTTAAGAGCAGTTCTGGATTGAATGTCCATGGGGCTGATTTCATCAATCTCAAGGTCAAAATTTTGCAAAAATAACCTCAAACTTAGTAAATATATTTGATAGTTCATACCTCCTCTTCTTGCATGAGCTTCCTCAGGATTCTATCAGTTTAAGATCATGTCAATTTGGGCTTTTGCTACGTATTGAGACAAAAGATGAATGAACATAAATTCCAGTCAACAACAGAAGCATAACCTCCATAGCATCCAGCTGGGAACAGTAGAGATGAAATCCATCCATGGGAAGCACTATAGCAAATTCAAGAGGTGAAACAGAATTCTTTCCAGTAGCTTTTTGGGACCAAAGATTGTTTAGACGGCGGACTACTTCAGATGATAGGGTCGTCTTGCCTGCACCAGGTGGACCAGCCAAACCAACAATGTACCTGCAATCCACGAGAAGTTACTTCAGGTTCAATACCAGAAGATTATAATTTTAGGTGAAGCAAATGCTTTCAGAAGCACAACATCGTAGAATAAGATATTTATTGAAGAATTTCTGTTAGCAGCCATCTCTTCTGCTTTGGTAATATATAATCTTGTATAGATTATCAGAGTCAGGAGGTTTTACAATAAAGCTAAATGGAGCTCACCCCTTTAATGCATAAGATAAATCAACAGTGAACTGAAAAGCAAACAGAACAGAAGGAAACAAATTTGGTACCTGCAGAATGAATTCTGAAAATGACTTCTTGGCATTTGCCTAAGAAATTTTGTTCCAACATGTTTTCAGGACCCATAGAATGAAACTTCAGCACCTACTGAACTAATTGTTTCTTCTGGCCCAAACTGCCCTTCAACCTAAAGCAAATTCGACTGGTTGATTGTAGACTATCAAGCTGAGACTCTAGTTTCAAATCAATAGATTTGAAACTTTGAACCTTTGCTGGTGTGCCTAGCTACCTCCATTTCAACATGCTGTTGTCATGGATTATATGAAGACTCCAATTCAACAATTTGGGGCCAATTGCCACACCAGTGTTGCCATAAAATCCATGTGGAAAAGCTGCAATCACAAGGACCTATCAAACTTGATTTCAGCTGTACTCACTTTTTTCTTCTTATAGTCATCAGGTGTCTTTCCATTGTCATTGTTCAATTCTCTTAAAAATGATTATGGTGGATCTGACACTACAGTCTTTATCTTGGATGGTATAACTATATTCTTGACCCTTTGTTCATTGTCCACCCCTTTGTGTTGCAAGACATGGGATCGTTGTCCAACATCATCACTATTATCAACATTGTACCCATCGTTCCAGACATCATGAGGGCTGGCAACGAAAGAAGTCTTCTCAGACTGTTGCTTATTGATGGTCACGAATGAGTCATGAATAACATTGACAAAAGTGAATCCCTATATGTTCTCAAAAGCATAACGGTGTGGTCCTAAATACAAGGTATCATGAATAACAAAAGGAACATTGGTCATAATTCTAAAAGCAGTAAGAGGGGTAAAGGGATCCCGGTAACTACAGTCAGTTAAGGTTGAAACCCTAAACCATGTTGGTCTTATTGTACATTAATAATCAATTATATTCAAGGTAAAAGATACAAGCATTGATCTAAATTTATGTGTAAATAATGAACATAATAAATCAACAAACTCAATGTATAAATGGTATCATGCAATAATTAAATCATTACTGTAACAAGTAAATAAACTTACTTTGAATTGATATCTTGAACCTTTGCAAAAGATGAAAGAAGATGTTCAGCCAAGGAATCATATACCTTTTCGATGGACCTTCAAGTATCAATAGGCTTAACTTTTAGTAATATGGAATTACCATTAGAAAATAATATTATTTAAGTATCAACGTGAACAAAGAAACAAATATACTTTAGCAAATAAAATATCATGCGAGCAACAAATGAAAATGGCATTATAAGTGCATGGTGTGATTAGTGATAATTTCATACTGATGAGCAACTTGCTCAAAACATACCTTTCTGATAGCACAGGAAATTCTTGCTTTTGGTAACATAGAACCTAAAATAGGCACAAAGAGTTAAGAGAAGTGACAAAACAATAACCAC